AAACTTCTTTGTTCGACCCTCTCGCATTCACCGTCGAGTCTATCGGCTCATCCACCATTTCTTTTCAGTCATTGGGTGGACAGTCGGCTTCTAGAGGATAATCGCTGATAGCAACTTCAATCGCAAGAGACACGATTTCGCGGGAACGAGGGCCAGCAAGATCATTATTTTTCGAGGGGGATGAGACGACAGTGGTATCGGTTACAAAACTGGGTTACGAGGGGGATGAGACGACAGTGGTATCGGTTACAAAACTGGGTTACAAAACTGGGTGTTCGCCCAGAAGTTGAGACCGGTGCGACAGAGCATGGTTCGAGGAAAGTTCGGGGTGATTGTTTGTCCATAAGGAAAGTCGAGGCTGAGAATGCTAGAGAGCTGGGAGAGGCTTCTTGAATTCAACTTGTGGGATAGCCGACAAGTAGAAAAGTTTTTCAGATTTCTGATATTGTGCATTCCAAATTTTTTAATGTGCTAAATGAAGCTCTAAAATCAACGCCAGGGTTGTCGTCAGTTCCGTAGCTATGGGTTGTGCAACTCTAACAGATTTCAAACGAATCTGTTACTATTCATTTGATACAACGGATACACGCTACAGTTTTTTGCCACGTTGTCGGATGAAATTACCAGAGTGCGATTTTAATGAGGAAGTTCAGCGTCTTGACCAAGTCTAGCTCATCATTAACATAAACAAATCTGTCGCTTAAAAGTGTAAGCTTTGGGCAATCTATAGCACGTATTGTCTCCTTGAAGTATTGGGAAAACCAAAGGTGGGACAGAGTAATCCGCTTTCTTTGTTATATCGAGTCGAGCAGATTCAACGCTCCACGTCTTCGATCAGCGCATCGGCCAACATGGGTAGGAACGGATTTTCGCGGCCCATGTACATTGTTTACGAAGTCAATTATTTTGCTAAAACAATAATTAGCTTTCGTTAGAAGACAATCAGCAATTGTCAAAGATTCATACTGCTAATTGACAAGTATGTCTGTTCTCTTTGTAGATCCTAAGTAAAGGGATAAGATGCGCCTTATACATTATTCGATACTTGAGGTCCTCCCATGAGGCCCCACCACATGCTGAATTCAGCACTATTATGCAGAAGACGCAAGGAATAGGAATAGCGATGCACGTGAAACCGACCGCTTCAATAGCGTGGCATATGAGCTCATATAACGGATTTTTACGAATAAAAGACCTTCTACTATTACAAGCCCCCATCGAATTTTCGGCAATGCTCTAGAAATAAAAGACCGCTTCGATTAAAAGACCTCTTCAGATAAAAGGCCGCTGTAA